CTTCCCCACTGACCGGCTCAGCTCCCTCTCTTCAGGAGGAGTGACGCCGATCTCAGAGCTGCTGGGAAGATGAACCAAATGCAGTAGATGAAGGGCCCACCCTCGTCCTGTCTGCAACACATGCTCACAGTAAGCTGGAAGAGCAAGCCTCGTCACCCAGAAGCTTACAAAACCTAGGAGCTTCCTAATGCAAGGTTAGGAGGAGCAGAAGGCTCTAGAAATGCCAGGCAATGTGTCTCTGCCAGCCCTCTGCCCTCACTCAGGGAGAGACATCCATGCTCTGGCATCTGGCCAAAATAGGCAAGGTGCTGGAACTCCCCTTGTGGGAGGCTTCACTGGGAGGGGAGACTGGCAGTGGGGTGGCCCCATGGACACAGGGCACACCTACATCCTTCACAACTTCCTTATGCCTCACCCGAATCCCACCAGGGATTCCCCACACACATTCCTTCACCCTAGCAAGGGGAGGAGAGCTGTATATGGGTACTTATTAAGAGTACATCACACCAACAGGTCAAAAGGGAAAATCCAAACAGCCAAACCCAAGGGCGTGCGAGGCCATCTGATGACAGTCAGCCCCAGGGAGGCCCAGAAGACCCACCCACATGGGGAGCAGACATCGTACTCCAACTTTCCCAAACAGGGGCCACAGAACCCTGACCCAGGATATTCAGTGTGCCAGATAAGAAAGTGCCCCAGCAGCCAATCCAGGTGGAAAGTAAGGAGCATCCTACAGCCACACTTCTCAGGCCCTTTCTGTCCCACTCAGAATCTCCTGAAGGCAGCTAGAGCCCACCCATCTCCCACCCCTGCCCTTCTCCCACCTCGTCCCACCTTCATGTTTCTTCACTTACCTCCTGTTTCTGCAGCCACCGACCGACTGCTCTCCCACCTCCACCCAGTCCTCCAACCCTATGCACTTAAAGCCAATCTGAGCCAGCCTGACCACTGCCCGGCTCAGCCTGTGGAGTCTCAGACAAATCTGGGCCTGGGTCCCTGCACTACCCAGAGTAGCCAGCCCCGGCCACGGATCCCCTCCTCACCTCTTCTTCATCATGGGAAGATTGCTCTTTTCTCTAAGACATTTCTGTAATTGTCACTCCTCTGGGAAAGGTTAGGACTCCCCTTAACTGAGCTTCTACCCCGCTCCTCACAAGCAGCCACAAAAGCCCTCCTCCGCCCCCACCCAGAGCTTAAGCAAGAAGGTGGACTTGGCTCCATCTCCTTGTGTTTCTCTCTACGTCCACAAGGCAGGGGAGGCAGGCACCAGGAGTCCAGCAGAGCCCAGGTGAGTAAGCAGGAGACAAGCCTCGGATCCCAGTTTTCTCCTGCAGTCCCGAGGTACCTAGCCACACCTGTCCCTTTACTTTACCTCCTCCCATGCAGAGAAGGCTTCCAGGAGCCCCCGCAGCAGTGCCATGTTCCAGTCTTTCTGGGTAAGCCTGCCTGGCCCAGTGCCTTAGGGAGGGTCAAACAACTTCATGAAGGAGAGGGGTGTTTCTGCCACTATTAGATTCTGATGTGGTTATTGTTATGAGCAATAAAATTTATTCCAAATATACCCGTGGGCAGCAAAGAAAACACAGCAGAACATTGATGTCACCTGGTAATGGTGCTCACTGTGATGGGCAGCTCTGGAAGCTCCCAGACTGGCAGCAGGTCTGGCCTCAGTGCAGCGCCAGCCCAGCCCCAACACACTTGGTTATCAGTGTGCTGTAAAGCCAGCAAGTGCCAGGGAGCAGCCCCCCAGGCCATGCAGCCGGCATAGCTAGATTCCAAGAGTGCAGACCACTCGAGAAAGGGTCCCCGTCAGAGGGCTCCTGAGACCTAAAACCAGGCCCCAACGTGGGGAACATGGGGACCATGCAGCCAAGGGAGTGTCTGCTGCAGGCTCTGCTTACTGGTTTATCTCAGGGAAAAAGCATGGCACACTGAGTTCCCTTAAACGGCCTTTCACCCTCGGTTTTCGGAACACTGACCTTAGAGGATTTCCTTTAAGTAATCGATGACCCCTAAGGCACCTGTCTGGCTAGGGAGCCTGTCCAGTAACTGACAAAGGAGCATGTGGACTAGCTTATAAAGGCCCAAGAAAACAGGGGCTCAGATACGCTTCCTGGCTGGAGAGAAGAGCATCTGCTCCCATGAGGGTGAGTGTGTTCCCTGGGCACAGGCGGGTGTTCTGTGCCATGACCCCTCCTAGACCTCATCCTATGGGGGTCTTCATCTGTATCCTTTCTGGTTATGACAAATCGGCATGGTATATTCCCTATGAACTCTGTGAGTCATTCCAGGGACTCATGGAATCCACAGGGGCAGTAAGAGGCAGGCGGGGCTTGCATCTGTCTATTCGGCAGTCTGAAGGGCTGTGTCCTTTTAACTTGTGAGCTCTTACCCAGCCCTGGGTGGCTAGGGATGAGAGAGAAAAGGGGCCGACTGGTCTGGTTAAGAGCTCGGCTGCTAACCAAAAGGTCGGCAGTTCAAATCCACCAGGCGCTCCTTGGAAACCCTATGGGGCAGTTTTACTCTCCTATAGGGTCGCTATAAATTGGAATCGACTCAATGGCAACGCGCTTGGTTTTGGTATGGTCTGAAGTAGAGGGAATTATCTGGACTCAAGTGTGCAGCTGGTACCCCCCAACCTAGACCGACCCAGGTGGCTAAGAATGAGAGAGTGCCACTTGGAGTGGCTGGTGACAACGATGCAAAAGTGGGAAGGTAAGAACTGGATCCATTTCCAGGTGGGAATTGGATTCATGCTGATCCTTACCACGTAGTTAGCAGGATTTGCCCACTGCACCCCTGCTTTGTGCACACAGCATGCCCAGCTGAAGCTGTAGTTGTTATAGCAGCCTGGCCTGGTGCAGATGCCACGTGGGATAGGTCCCAGGAGGGCCTTTAAAATCCAGGCAGTCTGCTGTGGATGAGGGGTGGCCACTGCCCAGCCTGGCATCTCAAAGGCCTCAGCATCCAGCGCCCCCGGCAGTGGGACCAGGATGGGGAAGCCCTGGCACAGCAGTGCCCCTGCCTGGGGGCCTCCATCCTTCATCTCTGCCCAGTAAGCTCCCACCCATCGTTCAAGGCTCAGTCCAGTGTTGCTGCCTCCATGAAGCCTGAGATGCCCTGGCTGAGATGCCTTATATTCAGTGCTGCCTGTAGCTAGACTTCTTTTCCTCCATGGAAATGATATGTCCATGTTGCTGAATGCCCGCTGAAGTTCACCTCACTTAACCAGGGCTTGTTCTGATCCATTGTCAAGAGCACAAGTTCAAAGTGAGGATGCCAGGTATGAATGCCAGCTCTATTAAGTGATCAACTTTTTGACTGTTCCAAGTAATGTTACTTCTCTGTGCCTCAATTTCCCCATATATACAATGGGGTGGTGGAAAGGTTTAAATGGGGAAGGGTTGAAAATCTCTTTATCTAAAATCATGGAAGCAGAAAGTACACTGGAATTAAGAAATTTAGATCTGGTAAAGGTGACACGATGGTGCAGTGGCTAAGAGCTCAGGCTACTGAAACAAAAGGTCAGCAGTTTGAATTCACCAGCTGCTCCTTGGAAACCCTATGGGGCAGTTCTACTCTCTCCTATAGGGTTGTTGTGAGTTAGAATCAACTGGACGGCAATGGGTTCTGGTGAAGGTGACGTGGTATGCATGTCACGGACACCCACACTGGGGCCTGAGGCAGTACCGCCCCCACTCCCACACCCAATACATGAAGACTTCCTCAGGAAAACACATGGGTGTTCACACAAGGTGAGTCAACGACTATAGTCAGGTTTTGCAATCCAGGAATTTCAGAACAAGTTTCAGTTTTCAGAGCTTTCTGGATACCGGCACTGCAGATAAAGGGCTATGGGCCTATAATTCATGTAAAGAGCTTAAGAATGGGGCCCAGCCCATTTTAAGGACACACTAATACCACTGCTGTTATTACTGCTGTTGATCTCACTACTAAACAGGAAGTGCTCAGTGGACGTTTCCTGAGTGCACAAGGGCTGCAGGGGCCCAGTTAAGCCTCACAGCAACCGCGTAACCTAGAATAACAGGCAGGCAGGCCAGGCTGCAGGGGTGCACTGCATTTGATCCCACCCATTTCTGCGAGCTAAGCATCGGTCGTGTGAGAAAGCTGGAGTCTATTTGTCATTGGAGACAGGATGAGGAGTCTGGACCACCCCGAGAGGCTGTGGCCAAGACCAGAACAAGCTGCCAGAGGCCCAGAAGCTGGGCGGGGGGCCCCAGAGCCCGAGTAGAGGCCTCAGCTCCTCCTCGAGCACTGCTGGATGGCTCCCTGTTGACATAAGTGGAGGCATCCTCTCAACATGAGCACTGGGGGTCCTGGGGTTGGAGGTGACACAGAGAGACCTCTAGGGGTGCACCGGCACCACTCCCTGAGGGGTGGCGGCACAGCAGAAGGAAGAAGGGAAGGGATCCTTGCTCATCTCTACACACTCTGGGAGACCACCCCCATGTCTGAGAGAGGGTGAGCCATTCACAGTGCTGTCAGCAAAACACAGGAGGTAGTGCCCACCAGTCTTCGGCTTGGGACACGCTGGCTCTCCTAAGCCTCGCAAAAAGGAGGCTCTGTCTCCCAGGCCCACCCTGGTCCATCAGCGAAGAGTTTGGAGACCTTGAACAAGTGAGCCTCAGGACAAAGGGGGCTGCTGGCCAGCAATGCCTGCGGTGGGTACGGGAGGGCGAGAGGTGCCCGCATCCTGCATGCACAACAGCCAGGCTCCTTGTCTCTGAAGGCTCTGATGCAGAGGTGTGTCCGCTGTGCTTGGGTAAGCATTTTCTTATCTAGGAAACGTAATGCTCAAGTCCAAGGAAATGAACCAGTGAAGAGTTAAGCTAAAAACAATGAGTGACTCATAGACCTGCTGGGCAAAACTGCTTAGCAATCAGTCTACTTCACACTTCCGATGTGTGGAACCCACCTGGCATACTATTATTCCAGAAGCAATTCAAATTTAATTCCAACAAAGAAAAGCATGTGCTTACCGTGGCTAGCTCGTCAAACTTCCCGAAGAGTTCATTCAGGAGTTTCACCAGCTCCTGGGCCGTGCACTGGGACGCCAGCCCTGTGAAGCCCACAATGTCCGCAAACAGAATGCTGTTGAGAGAAAGGGGGTGCCGGTCTGTCCCCCGACAAACAGAAACTACCCCTAATTTCAGCAATAATAGCTCCCCAGAGATATACAGGCATTTACATCTACAAATCACCTCAAAACAAACATACTCAAAGCAAGCAGAAATGAAGGCTTCATTGTTCTCATTTTACAGGTGAGAAGACTGAGGCTCGGAGATGCCCCCAGACTTCCTCCTGCCCAAGGAGGAGGCAGATGCGGGAATCATTCAGAGCCACTGTGGGCCCGCTCCCCACTCTGCAGGAGAGCCTCTCGTTGCCCTCTTCCCGGTGACCATGTGACAGAGGGGACCAGCGGCATGTGAGCACCACAATGAGCTTTAAGAATGTGTAGGCCCCTCCACACTCCCTTCTTCCCCTTCGACCAGCTGGAGAGACCTCCCTGGAAGCAAGGCACTGGGTAGGGTTTGTCAGAGCCTCAAAATGGAGAGGGCAGAGTCCCAGGACTACTGTGCAGAGGAGGCTTCCTGCCTCAGTGCGCTGAGAGAGGAAACACACGTCTCTGTGTTGAAGCTTATACATACTGAGATGCCTGGATGGCAAAAAGAGTTAAGCACTTGGCTACTAACCAAAAGGTTGGAAGTCCAAATCCACCCAGAAGCAGCTGGGAAGAAAGCCCTGGTGATCTACTTCCAAAAGGTCACAGCCATTGAAAACCCTGCGGAGCACAGTTCTACTGTGACACACATGGGGTTGCCATGAGTCGGAGTTGACTCAACGGCAACTGTTTGTTTTCCATTTTCTACAGAACCTAGGATTAGCCTAAGACTGTGTCTACCCACAGCTCAATTTTCAGAGACTCTAAGACTCTAAAAAGAATGCTGTCTATAGTTTCTTCTTCTTATAAGACTAAAACATGTTTATTATGGAAAATTTGAGAAGTGAAGAAAAAATCAACATATGTGATTTTGTCTTTAAAATTCTATAGCTTTAAAATACATCTTAAAATGTGGTAGAACAATCCCCAAACATTTCTTCAGCCTCTTCAAAATGTTCTTGGATTTTCTGTAACTTTGGGACTTCCTGAACCTAGACTACCTCCCATGACCCCGTATATGAAGTCAGAAAACACCAAGTCAGGGAAGGAAGAGGGCCATTCTTGCCTACAATGAAAGGGGTTTCCAAATATGTGCCCTCTTCCATCTACAACGTTAGGCTAGTGAGACATTTCTACGAACTTGGCCCCCCTTTCTTACCTTGCTCTGTCTCAGCACCCCCAAGGTGAAGGGTCTCATTCTACCGCAACCCAGCAGGAAGCATGGCGCCAGGGCCGGGCGTGGTGTCTGGGGCTCACAGCCCTGTGTGACTCCTCAGGTCCACAGTCCTCAGCAAGGAAGTGGGCAACAGGGGCTGATGGTGCCTAAGCTTGTATCAAGGAGCCCTGGTGGCACAATGGTTAAGAGTTCGGCTGTTAACCGAAAGGTCAACGGTTTGAACCCATCAGCTGCTCCACAGGAGAAAAGACCTGGGCAATCTGCTTCCATAAAGATTACAGTCCTGGAAACCCTACAGGGCAATTCTACTCTGTAATATTGCTTTTTGAAAGTAGATTACCATGCCTTTCTTCTGAGGAGCTTCTGTGTGGACAAACCTTCAAACTTTCAGTCAGCAGCTGAGCGCATTAACCATTTGCACCACTCATGTTCTGGTGGGGTGAAAAACCATTGAGTCAATTCCAAGGTGGTACAAACAGTTAACGTGCATGGGCTGCTGACTGAAAGTACGGAGGTTTAAGTCCACCTAGAGGCATCTCAGAAGAAAGCCCTAGCGATCTACTTCCCAAAAAGCCGCCACTGAAAACCCTATGGAGCACAGCTCTACTCTGACACGGAGAGGTCACACTGAGTCAGAGCTGACTCCACTGGTTCTAGCCGGAGTGGAGGAATAAAAACAACCACTCAACAGAGGCAGGAAAGACAACTTCTAAACCATTTAGCCCAGCATTTCCACAAGAGTGTTTCATGGGATGTTGTCCCTGCGGGGCACAAATGGTTTGCACTGGACTACTAACCTAGAGGTTGGCAGTTTGAACCCACCCAGTGGCTCCCTGGAAGAAAGTCCTGGTAATCTGCTTGTGAAATGATTACAGCCAAGAAAACCCTACGCAGCACAGTTCTACTCTGTCACACATGGGGTCACCATAGGTCAGAACTGACTCTACGGCAACGCATTAATATTTAGAAAAAAGAAAAAAATGGAGAGATCTCCATGCATTGTAGGTTTGGGAGAAGCTCCCAAAAAATCCTCCCAGCAGTCTGAATCTCTATAGGTATGATGGGGAGGCAGGGGACTTGTAATATGACCAGGGTGCTGCTCTGACACTGTGGGAAAGGCCATGAGGGCCCAAACCACTGAGCTATCTGAGCCAGTGTCCTGGCTGCCCACTTCCGGGGCTCTCATCCCACAGGCAGAGTAACTGCCTTGTTCCTGGAGCTGCTGCAAGGCCAACTTATTATCACTTGTAGCCAAAAACCTGTTACAGGGACTTGAAAGATCAGTGAACACACTGCAAACCGTTATGAGATTTTCTGAGACCTCAGCATAAATGTGTGACTTTAAATGAATAAAGACAGGCAGAATTTCAGCAACATTGTTTTTATGACACATTTTGTCTCATATCTAGATTCGTGATGCCATACCTTAACTCAGATCTGCATTTTCAATAATACAGAAATTGGGGACCCCCATTCCACATTCACAGCAGGCTTCTCCCTGAACAGACCCTCACCCATCCACACGGTCCACCACCCCTCTCCACGTGAGAACAGCTGCTGGCCCATTACATCTCCACCTGCGGCTGGCCACCTCCACAAGACTGTGAGGGTCTGAAGCTGCAGACCACAATTTCTATCTCATAGCAGCTAATACGGTAGATGGGGTTTCAATGTCTGTGTTATGAATAAATGAGTGAATGAATGAATGAGTAAATAAGGTGAATAAAGCCTGGGAGTCTAGGACATTGGAAGTGTCATTAACTGACACTGGAAAGCTGAGAAAGAGAACTGCAGGGGTGGGGGTAGAAGGACAAAGGTGTTTTTCTTCCATTTTGGTATAAAATTCAGGCTTATTTATATCTCCAAGAATTTATTTATTTTTTTCCTTCTCTCCTTTACAAATAATACTCCATCCAAACCCCTTTCTCTATCCACTGGTTTCTCAGTCTCTGATTGTTCATTTAGTTCCAAAAACCCCTGCTAGGAGAGCTCCCAGCATCTGTGTTGTCCTTGACCTCCACTTGCTGTGGGAAAACTTACTCCCCAGGGCACCCCAGTTCCTCCACCCACATAAGTCAACATTTATGCAGTGCCTCTCCCATGCCAGGCCCCTGTCCTCAAGGAGCTCAAAGTCCAGGAGGAGGGGGCTTAGGGTAGGAGGGACAGAAAATTCAGTAGAGGGCAGTGAAGCAATGATGTGGAAGCCTAGAATTTGGCAGGCAGGTACAGAACCAGCTCTGAAGGCCAAAGATGGCTTCACACATGAGGCCAGGCCTGAGTGAAACCTGGAGCTACATGGGACTCACCCAGACAATGAAGGAAGGAAGGGGAGGGAGGGAGGCAGGAAGGCGGAGAGGCTGGGAGGTGGGGAGGTAGGCAGGCTGGTGGGCAGGCAGGAAGGCAGGAAAGCAGGAAGGCAGGCAGGAAAGCAGGCAGGAAGCAAAGGAAGGGAGGGAGGGAGGAAAGCAGGCAGGCTGGAAGGCAGGAAAG